TTGAAGACTGTTCAGAAGCTTCAAGTGGTCCAACGGGCAGTAGCCAAATTTCTTACCGGAGTGAAGTACAGGGAACATACCACCTCCATTATGTCAGCACCACTATTGTTCCTTAACTCTTATTTATAGAAAGCGATCCATCCCCTTCTCTCAATGGCAAAAGGTGAGATCTTAAAAGAAGCACTGACCCTCTCTACTGTCTTGGCTGTAGCACCATTTCTGACCTTTTCAAATGTCCGGGTGGGAAATGGTAGTGGCAGCCAGGGCTGCTTTCCCCTCACCGTGGAATGACTCTTGATTTATCCACAGGCCATACAAAAATCCATTATTACGGTGGCAAAATTTGTCCTATACCCGAGTTCGACTTACAAACAAGTGCAGGCAGTTCCCGGGTTATGAACAAGATTGACTCCTGTAAGTTAGTTCTTAAGTTGAATTCTGATGTAGATCAGAACAGGTACATTTTTTAAGTGTAACCCCAGCCAAAATGTGTATTTTTAAGCATTGGATAACATAGGCAAGGATTAACGCCCCCATGGGGTTTGTTTTGCTGTCTGTACATCTTTTCAGAAGATTTCACCTCATTTTCTGTCCCTGTGATAATTGGATTTTGAAATATTTGGCTTGTTGTGGAAACAAGGATTGGTGATAAAGTTTCAGAGGAGACACCTTTTCCTCATGATACCTCTTTCAGGAGTCAATTTCCCTTCTTAGGGGCAGATTTCTCTCATGTCCTGTTGTCTAATCCCCATTCTTAGCTATGAGTCATTTGTAAGTCGGATGTAACTCAGGGACTGTTTGTATATATAGTAAATGCCAAAATTTAACACCACTAAAGAATATGAGGACAAAAACATACAAGCAAAACCCTGTTGGACTGTTAGAAATTACCTGTCAAACATTAAATTTCTATAAATAAACCATTTCCTAGCCTTTCCACCTCAAAATTGGCACATACTCACAAAGCCTGACTTCCCATACTGCTACATTTCAGAATGATCCAGTGATTAGGTTTTATTAATATGAGATATAGAGAATACTCTCCTCATTGAATTCTGGTAACAACATTAGAACGTAATTCATCTGAGTCAGCCTTAATTATAATATAGTTGAATAACATCCTCAGAGGAAGGCAAACCTCTTCTGATCTGATCTTGCCAAGAAAACCCTATGGTTCAGCACCCAACAACAATCTCTCCAAAATCATCCATGTGGATGTTTAAGGCCCCTTTCACACAGTTGTATAAAATCCATATTGAACTTGATTATTTATTTATTTACCACACTTTTACCCTGGCTTTCTCACCCCGAAAGGGATTCAGAGAGGACTTACAAAGGCAACAATTTGATGCCAAACATATACATATCGATAAATAAACAACACATTAAAATCCAAAACAATTAAAAACATCTACATTAAAACATCAATTAAGATAATGCAGATCGTAGGGTACTCAGATAACCCAGTTCAAAGCAGATATCAAGACAGATTGTGGATTATCTGCCTTGATATTCTGAGTTATATTGCTGTGTAGAAGATTGCTTTTTGATGGTTCAATATACACAAACTTTGTTTCATTCACAACATTATTAAATGTGTGTGTATAAGATGCATATGAATCACACATTATGTTGTATTTAGACTTGGGTCTCATCGCCAAGCTATCTCACTATGTATATGAAAACACAATAATAATCCAAAATTCAAAACATATCTGGTCCCAAGCATTTTGGAGAAGGGATACTCAACCTGTGATGTATATGGTAAAAGATGTTGAGGCCCACTTTCACTAAGAAATCAGCCAGATCAGCTTTTAAAGGAAGGCATACAAGCAGAATTGTAATGAAATGATTCCTGTTCCATCACTCCTATCAGTAACCCGATAATAACCTTGAGACAGAATATACATATAATATATGACACGTAAAGAGAACTGGCATATTTCTGGCAGTTACAATGAGATCAGAATCAATACCATGGGGCATGAGGAAATCTGTAAATTGTTTCTTCCTTTACACCCTTCACCCCCATTAGCATTTGGAGAGGACTTTCTCCTGGTGCCAGTGAGAGGCCTCCTTCTATACTAAATAGCAGATATAAAGAGGAAGGTTTAATGTTGAGAATGTGATACCAGAATAATAAAAAAAACCCTCTTCCCTATAGTACCAGAGCTGACTGTTTTCATCATTGCCTACCATGAAACATTTTTTACAGATGCATACAAATACAAGTTTCAGGCTCGTGTGAATATTGATAAAATCATCAAATGTATTGCAAATTAGGGACAGTGAATATGCAGTGTCACAGATGATTTTTTTTTACTATTAAACCCATATTCCCTCATCTATAGCTGTGCTGAAGGTTTCACTCCAGCACAGTGAGACAGAGGTTTCACTCCAGCACAGTGAGACACTCCAGCACGAGACAGAGGTCCTTCTGGTCAAATTATGACCTATAGGGTGGCAAACTGTACTCGACGGGGTTACACGCCCTCTGAGGACACAGGCACACAGTCTGGGGGCCCTCCTGGATTCAGTGCTGATGCTTGATGCTCAGGTGTCGACGATGGCCGGGAAGGCCTTTGCATAGTTAAAAGCTTATGAGCCAGCTGCGAACGTACCTCGAGAAGCTTGACTTGGCCATGGTGGTCCATGCCTTGGTTATATCCAGATTGGATTATTTGCAATGAACTCTATGTGGGGCTGCCTTTGAAGATGGCCCGGAAACTGCAACTAGTGGAAAGATTGGCAGCTAACTATAGGGAGTGCACAACACCCCTCTTAAAGCAGCTCCACTGGCTGCTGATAAATTTCCTATTGCAATTCAAAGTACAGATTATGACCTATAAAGCCCTAAACAGTTCAGGCCCAGCCTATCTCCCCCTATGAACTGGTGTGGGCACTAAGATCCACTGGGGAGGCCCTCCTCTCACTCCCACCACAGTCACAAAAATGGCTGGTGGGGGTGAGGGAGAGAGAGGGCTTACTCGGTGGTGGCTTCCAGACTTTGGAACACCCTCCCCAGGGAGATTAGGCAAGTCCTGACACTGTCCTCCTTTCGCAGGGATCTGAAAACCTTGATGTTTCAACAAGAATTTGAGAATGACTAGTTCTTAGTTATAAATGCCCAGTTCCTTGTTTGCCAGACAGTACTCTGTTTTCTAACCTTCATCCAATTCCCCGGTCCTATGATACGCTGTTTTGCACTATGCCATGCCTGAGCCTTTTTACAGCATGGCTATGCCCATTTCAGTATTTCTAGTTATTGGTTTTTTGTCGAGTATTGTTTTGATGGAATTTTCAATCCTGTCGTCTTATACTCTTCAAGTTTTATTTGATTGTGTTTTTATCTGTATTGTTATGCTTCATTATGTTTTATTTTAATTGTGTTTATGTTTTAATGGACTGTTTTGCTTTTTGTCTTCTGGACACTCTGTCCCATATGTAAGCTGTGCCGAGTCCCTTCAGGGAGATGGTGGTGTATAAGAATAAAGTTATTATTGTTATATTATAAAGGGCCATATATTCTCTATTTCAGAAAGAGCCTTACCACATTTTCTACCCACTTTTCAGAATACAGTGTGAGATCCATGCAGGCGTTGTTGCTGTGTGCTTTCAAGTCATTTCAGTGACCCTAAGATGAACTTATCATGGGTTTTGTCTCAGTAAGATTCATTCAGAGAGTTTGCCTTTGCTTTCCTCTGAGACCCAGTGTCACCCAGTGGGTTTTCATGGCCAAGCCCCAGTCCAGTGCTCAAACTACCACACTACATTGGCTCTTGCACACAAACATGAAAACCTAGCTTCTTGGGGAGACAAACAGCATTCTTGTACAAGAAATATTTCATGATTTTTTCTCTTTTTTGCCATGCTATTTTATGCTGGCCCCAGGAAAGGTAAGGTTGAGAGCAAAGCAAATAATTTTGGAAGCTGTTCACAGAATTGACATTGTGAAAACTGCTCAGCGTCATTATCTTTACTAGACAATAGCTTGTACCAACTTCACACCAATTTTTATAAGGTAAAAATGAAATTACTGTGAGTCAGAGGCTCAAATAACAATTTTTCTAATTCTCCTTTGAGCAATTTCATAAAAGGAATAATCAGCGCAATTAATTTATTTTTACATTATATACCTTCAGCAGTACCCATTGTTTTCACTTGTTTTATCACAAAACACCATGCACATTTCATACTATATAAATAGTTGTTGTACTATGAAAAATAATTTTCTTATTCTTATTATTTTGAACTAAAATATGTAAATTTGATTTGCATAGAATCTGGATTACTTTTACTGCTGAAATGAAATGAAGAGGAGGGAAATTCCATCATGTTTTCATCTCTGAAAAGCAGTAAAAGTAATCCATGTCTGATCACATTTCTGTAAATGATGAATGTGTTTTCAGAGAGGTTTCTAGGTTTGAAAAATTCAGTCAAAGATTTTTAGTCACATATTTTTAAAAGTCTTTGCATACTCTATAACAACTGTATTTTTTTAAAAGAGCAACATTCTTTCAAGCTTAAAAAATGGAATCAGGACAACACTGGATTGTGCAAACAATATTTTTCAAAACGTCTTTGAAAAAATGATAAATTGGAAAGTAAATGTCTTTGTAAAAATCCTGAAGGCCTTATCACGCCTTTTGAAATGTCACTTTTCACAGTTAAAATCAAACAGCACGAACATTTGGAACGGAACTAATTATTTTGGCACAGACAACCCACTTCCACTTTGAAAAGAGTATTCTTTCAGATTAAATGTCCACTTGTAAAGCTAAAAAACCAAAGGGATAGGACTCAAAGGCCTAGGGTAGTTCCTCGCGCTACTTATTTCTCTTTCCAGCAGAATGGAAATACACCAGATGGACACTGTTGAATCTATGATTTCCATCCTACATTGCTAGGGTGTGGGGAAAATGAGGATATTCTGGAATCCTGGATGAAAAGATGACACTATCTCAGGAATTCCCAACCTATAGTTAGCCTTTTCCACTCACCTTAAGATGGAGGCCAGGGGGATTCCCAAGCTGTCCTCAGAATGGCAGGGACTCTGCAAGACACCTTTCCTGCCTCCTTGTGGCTCCTCTTCGCGCTCAGTCCAGGGAGCATCAGTGGCAGAGCTCGTTCCAGAATCTGGCTCTACAGGGGCCAGTGGGGCAAAGTTTTGTTCAATGAGTTTGGCACTATCTCGAATTTGCTCTTGTATTTCTGGGGTGAGAGTAGGCAGATCAAAAGTAAAGTATGTCCCACTATGTGTGTGAGCTGGGGAGGACAGGATGTCAATGGAATCTAGGCTGGTGTAAGACGTCCCTTTGGCTCGGTGGGACTCCATGATGCTCTCAAAATGCTTGCTGAATGAATCCATGCCATCCCTGGATAAGCTGTGCCCAAGAAGGAAGGGCACAGGGGACTTGAGCAACCCTTGGCCTTCTCTGTTGATGATCCTGGAGATGGATGGTTAAGAAGAGAAAGAAAGAGATGTTTGTTACCAAGAGACAAGCACTGCTCCACTTCTTATCTCTCCCTCTTCCTGATCACAGTAATAGCAGTAGCAGTAATAACAATAAGAACAACATTTTTTATTTAGTACCCGCCTCTCCTTTTGGTAAGTATGCTGACTCAGATTAAGATAGTATGAAGTTATGTCAGAACAAAGACTGCATCATCTTGCTATAAAGAGTTCAAGTAAGTGTTCATGGGTAGGAAAAAGAATGTCACTGAAAGCTGAAGGGACATTTCTCTTACTCACAATCTGATCACGAACAGTAGACTGAAACTGGGACAGGGACAACTCAATTATTAGGTGAGGGAGAGATTTTAGTCCCACAGACTAAGGAGATTAGTGTTTTTTCATGTCAGGAGTGACTTGAGAAACTGCAAGTTGCTTCAGGTATGAGGGAACTGAACGTCCGCAAGGACATTACCCAGGAGACGCCCGGATGTTTTACCATCCTGTGGGAGGCTTCTCTCATGTCCCCGCATGAGAAGCTACAGCTGACAGATGGGAGCTCACCCCACTCCTCGGATTTGAACTGCTGACCTGTCAGTCAGCAGATGGGTGGATGATAGGGATGAATAAGCAATATCATGTTTCCAGATGTAATGAGCTGTGCAGAAGACGTAAACAAGAAAGTAGAAAAGAAAGCAACCTGTATATTTGTGTAGTTGCTAGGATAAGAAAAACGCCTCAACAAATCAAAGCTGTAGATGTTGATGGCTAAGAAGGGACTACCAGGACTAGGATTTTCTGCATGGTGGGTTGGTGTTTACACCAATAGTTTTGTCAGAAGCAAAGGACCCCTTGCTGATGCTTGAAGATCTTCACAGTCATTAGGATCTGCTATTCTACAATGATGCAAGAAACATGGCTAAGAAAAAATCTCTTCTGAGCATACATTTTTGTTTTAGCAGAGCATGGTGTAAAACCTGGACTGTGGAGATCCATCCATTCCAAAAAAAGGCAACAGAATACATTACACTTCGTATGTGTGTGCACATGCACGCAAAGGAATACAAAAGAATATGAAGAGAATGACCTTCCATCTTTTGTTTCCCCATGAATTATTCAGGTTTCTCTGTGAGCTCTAAAAAGACTAACCAGAATATCAATGTATAGTTACCATTATCCAAGCAAAGTCCTATGGGAAGAACATTAGGGCCTCTAAAAAAGACTATTAACCGACGAACCGCTCACAGATTGTAATAAATACTTTTGGTTTTATGGAGGTTGGCACATGTTTAATCATTTCACAGGAATAAATGCAGGTAATTATAGGACATTAAGTCCTATGTCATTACAGTTGGGCACAGGAAAGAAGTGGAAGATAGTAGCATTACTGGTTAGATCCAAAACACAGACAGCAACTGCACAAGAGTAGAATTGCCTGCAAATATGAGGTAGAAAACACAGAACTTAATATTAATGGTGGAAGTTTATAAGCTCTTTGAGGGAACATGAAGTGCTCTTACCCCAGCACATCTTAGACCAACTGAGACATTGAATAATCTCATTAGCAGCTCTTCAGCAAAACAAGGACCATTGCCACAGGTCCTAGCAGAAGATACAATGTCCCTGAGGGGTACTGGCCAGACTCAGTCCTATTCTAATAATTATTAAATTGCCCTGCATAACCAGCTCTGTTATTCTGAATCCAATTAATTCCATATTTCTATTGTTATCTGGGCATGCAAAAAACAAATAGAAGATAAGTATCATCGCTAATTGCAAATGAAATGTTAAGTACTGTCAATTCAAGATAATCCTTACCTCTCATGATGCTGCTGTGTAACTTCAAATACCTCATCATTTTCAATGTCTTGGATCTTATTCCTTAAACACTTGCCATCATCATTTTCCCTAGTGTGCTGAATCAACTGGTCCTCTGGAACATTATTTCCTTTCCCCAATATTCCTGTGAAACTGGGATTGCTCTCACTGTCCTTCTGACTCTCAATGGCTGAATCCACTTCATCTTTTTCAGCCAAGATGTCATCAATGTTGGTTTCATGGTAGCATCGCAAGGGTACAGAATCCAGGTCTGTTTCAGAATACTTCAGTGTTCTGCGGATAATTCCAGTTTCACAGTTTCCAGGGTTTGGACTACTTGGTGGGGCCATCTCAATTTCTACCTCTACGTGACACAAGTTATGTTCTGGATGCATCCAGTCTTGTTTCAGTGGCAATGGAGGGCTGGATTTCTTAAGAAGATGAGGTAGAGGATCAGGTCTATTCTGAGGTGATACTCCTGTAGCACAGAAATCCCAAATTACCAAAACCAAGAAAAGCTTCAATAATGTTTAACAAATACTGGTTCTCTCTGCTTTTGCCCATGACATCAACAACATCAGGCTCTTTAATATAGGTAAAGATTTCCCCTGACAATAAGTTTAGTCATGCCCACTCTGAGGGATGGTGCTCATATCCATTTCTAAGCCAAAGAGCTGGCATTGTCCATAGACACCTCCAAGGTCATGTGGCCAGCATGTTACCTTCCTACTGAAGCAGTATCTATTGATCTACTCACATTTGCATATTTTCGAACTGCTAGGTTGGCAGAAGCTGGGGCTAACAGCGGGAGTTCACCCTGCTTTCCGGTAGTGCGATGGGTTAAACTCTTGTGCTGGCAGGATTGTTGACTGATAGGTCAGTGGTTTGAATCTGGGGAGAGCGGGTTCAGCTTGCTCTGTCAGCTCCTGCTCCCCATGAAGGGACATGAGAGAAGCTTCTCACAAAGATGGTAAAACATCAAACATCCAGATGTCCCCTGAACAACATCCTTGCAGACGGCCAATTCTCTTACATCAGAAGCAACTTGCAGTTTCTCAAGTCACTCCTGACACAAAGAAAAAAAACCCCATTCCCCGGATTCGAATTGCCAACTTTTCAGACAGCAAGTTCAGCAGCTCAGGTGTTTAATCCCACTGCACTACTATAAGTATCCAGAAAAAATAGCAAAGAGAAAGAAGACACAATCTAGGAAAAAAGAAAGGATTCTCTTATCAACACTACCAGCACTACCATTTTAATAAGGCCTGATGATTAAATTCTGTATAAAAGGTGTTGAGGAAGAAACACTCTTTTTGTACCTCAAAACTGTAAAGTCCACCCAACACACAAAATTAAATGAAAATTTTACTGTTAAAATGTCCCAGTCTGCCTTGGGAGTAGCATTATGCTTCAAAACATCCCTTATGTTTTCAGAAATAAGTGAGAACAGGTAGAAAGAGGGAATTGATTTTGTAACCTTTCTCTCTCCATTCCTATAATGAGCTGGGAGCCCTTGAGTACATGGCAATATTGTAGAGCTATTAGCTTGCTGCTGCTGAGGTGGGAATTATAAGAAAATCTCAGGGTTTTGGAAATCAGAAAACAACTGCCCAAGGGAGCAGGCCAAATGGTACAAGTGGGCAGGGGGAGAAGCTCTCTTCCCAGACAAGAATTGGCAGATTTTTCAAAAGGAAACTAACCGGCAACATCAGAAAGAAAAAGCTCTGGAGCCAAGTAATTTATTGCTCCAAATTGCTCATTTTACAGCCCAAATAATGCTTCCCTGGAATCATAGGATGACTTGGAAATTTGCCTCTGAGGTCATCAGTGTTGCTCCTACTTCTGAAAAGAAGATTCAATCTATAATTTCCATTAAAGGTCCAATCTACGTATAAACCTGCTCCGAGATCCAATCCAAGATCCACCTCTGTGGAGGTTGTGACAGTAACTTATTTCTGAGTAGATACAAATTCTTCTCATCTTTTGAAATGTGAAAGTGCTACGGTGGACAGGCATAGAGAGGCCCAGAGATAGTCTCTCAACATGGGGAGAAATTTAGATGAGAGACAAAACACACCTAATTTATTTAATCCCATCCATTTCATGTGAAATTTTGCAACTGGGGACTGAAAATAGGGAAAAGATTCACTGAGGAAAAACCAGAAAAAATGAACTCTGCTGACTCCTAAATAACAACAACAACAACAACAACAACAACTTTATTTGTTTTCACCCTATCTCCCCAAGAGGACTCAGGGCAGATTCCATCAGACAAAAAACATAGAGGCAAACATTCAATGTCTCACCATGAGTGCAAACATAAATACATTCATGATCCACACAATCCCAAAGCAACCCAATATCAAGCAATCAATTATTTAAAGAACCCAAAATTACACAGTTACATTATAAAATTATATCTCACCATAAAAACATCAAATTATTTCTAACCATAAAAACATGACCCTCAATTTAATGACCACCCAAAGGTTCAGTAAAAAAATAAAATTAGAAGTTAGCTCTACTTGCCATAATATCCAACAGTGCCGACCAACTCACTAAGGCTAAAGAGCAATAATAATAATTAAAATGAATTAACTGACTGTTGCTCCCTTGTACTCTTCTTCATATGATAAAGTACACAAGTGGGTTTTCAATTTTTTTTGAAGGAGAGAATGGAAGGAGCAATTTTTATCTCTTTGGGGAGGGCAATCCAGATGTGGGGGGCGATTGTGGAGAAGGCCCTCTCTCTCATTCCCACCAGCTGGACTTGGGATGGGGAGGGAACTGAGAGTAGGCCATCCTCCGCTGAATGCAGTGTCTAAATAGGCCTATAAGAGGAGATGCGGTTCTTCAAGTAGCCTGGACTCGAACCATTAAGGGCTTTAAAGGTAATGACCTGCACTTTATATCTAGCCTGAAAGCAGACCAGCAGCCAGTGGAACTGTCTCATCATAGGAATTGTCTGCAACCTGTACGGAGCTCTGGTTAGTAATCTGGCTATCGATCTCTGCACCAATTGGAGTTTCCAACCTATCTTCAAAGGCAGCCCCATGTAGAGAAGGTTGCAGTAGTCCAAGAGGGATGTGACTAAGGTGTGAACTACCATGACCAAGTCTGGCATCTAAAGGTACGTGTGCAGCTGGCACACAAGTTTGAACTGTGTGAAGGTGCTCCTGGCCACTGCTGACACCTGCGGTTCCAGAGTCAGCAATGCATCCAGAAGCACCCCTAGACTGCGCTGTTTGGATGGAGTGTGACCCCATCCAAAACAGGCAGTAACCCCACATCCTGAACCGCCTTCTGATTGACCAGGAGTACCTCTGTCTTGTCTGGATTAAATTTCAACTTGTTAGCCTTCATCCAGTCCATCACTGATGACAGACACCTCCCTTCTGCCACCAGCAGCGTAACTGAACTTAGGATGAAACAATAATTTGTTGGGTTCCTTACCCTCAAGACAGGAGTGTCATGCTGCCTGGGTGGCCAGATTTTATGCAAAATGTCTCCTAGTGCCCGAAGCAGTCTGCAAATAAAATGCCACCTGATGCCAGGAGCTGTCTGGAAGTATTCTTAAGCAGCTTGCCTGTTCAATTCTTTGCATGAGTGCCTTCTAGAAGAACAGTGATATGCAAAGCAGAAATAGAGGAATTACCCATAAATGGAACTCTTACTCATGCAGAGAAGGTTTCCAATCTGCTGTTTTGTACAGCAGTATACGGTTGCTTTACCTTTACCTCAAGTGCTTCTGCTTGAGAGGACAGCCTGCAACTTATCTTCTGCCTTGCTCTCCTCTCTTCTTTCTGTTTGCTAGGAAGGATTCCAGCCTCATGCTTAACATTTGCTCATAATTAATCTTACTTATAGCACCTATTCAGAGATTGCAAAGAATATTTTAGGGGAACAGAGCACCCGAAGATGTTAGAAGTGCCTTTAGGATTTATAACTTGTGGGAAAAGTTAAAACATCATGAGAACCAGCCATACCTAGTCAAAGATAAGCTTTGTAATATTCCACTGACCCCAGGCATTTTAGTTTCCCAAATAAAATGGATTAAATATCCCCAACTATGCTCCTTACATTCGTCTATCTACAGAGTTTATTCTTCTATCTACAGAGTTAACATATATCTCAATTTCAACTTCTGATGTGCTCCACATTTTTTTCATTACTGAATTTCAGACTACTGTTTTCCAACCAGCTATCTAGTTCTGATTTGGAGATGGTTTTATAATCTAAGACATAAATGTGAGTGCCTCAAGTATCTGCATGATTGGTATTTGACAAAAATATGCTGTCCATTCCTTAATTAATGTCTCATGTCCAAATGTAGAATTGCATCTATATTAACCATTGATTGTGGGATCATGGGGTTAATAAGTTTTCAAATAGTGAATCCTAAGTCCTGACAACACTAGTAATAAACTCATTACCTGTCCCTGGAGAATCCAGTGAGCCATAGAAAAATTCCCATTTGGCTTTGGCAATGCGCTGTGCATGAGCAGAGCTCTCTCGGGAATATGTCCATGAGTTTCCCTACAAAAAACAAAAAAGAGATTTGTTTGGAAGGATCCTTAGTTAGGTATAATGTGTGAAAGTCTAGGGGTGAACAGGGGAGACACCATTCCTAGGAAGAACATACCTGGTATTGTGAGTTCCCACTCTGTGGGCCTCTCCTCAACAATGAGATATCATTAGAAGGGCTGCTCATTCCATTGGTGAGAGAACTGGAAAGACAGCTGGCATTGAGAGGATGTGGGCTTCCATTGCCCAGGCTCAAAGAAGATTGTGCACCTGAAAGAAACCTATTTCCAGCCAACAGAGGGTCTGAAGCAGATGTCTCCAGCTTCAGCTTTTGACCAACATGTTCCTTTCCTCTACTACTGAGGGGAATTGGGATTTGCTCATCTTTAGAGCCAGAAATGGCCATACTGTATTCATCTGTTTTCTGTCTGAAACTTTGGTTTGTATCTAGAGCCACAGGTTCTAGAGATACTGTGACTTTGTGCTGTGGGGAACAATGATTTTGAACAGTGGGACAATGACTGCCTTGCTTATTGGAGCCAAAGTGAGGGGCATCCCCATACTCTAGACTCCTGGTCAATCCAGTTTCCTTCCTGGAACCTAGTAATGGGAGGCCATTTAAAGTTTTTACATTGGCCTTTTCAATAAAGCGGAAGGTCACTACTGAGCTCTGGCCACCAGAGACTGGGGCCACCAATGGAGTGCGACTACCTGGGGAGCAAAGGGAGGATGGAGGCCTGCTTCTCAGTGGTGTACATGGAGCTGTCACCCTTCCAGAGCTGGGACAACTGCCATTGCCAAGGTAACCTATTTCTGTGACTTTCCGGATAAGGGAACCGGTGCTATTATACATCCCCAGTTGGGACCGCCTGGCCTCTGGAGTCAGTCCCTTGCGGAGAAGGTGAATCCTGCCAGCATTGAGATTGGGTGTGAGACAGCGTTGGGGAATAAAGGCTGCAGGATCGGCATTCTTGGACGGTGACAGGCATGGCTTCTTCTCCAATTCTCGAGCAAAGTGTTGAGGTGACATGATGTGCTCTCCCTCAGGATGAAAACACATGACAGCTCCAGCCTGGGACATCCTGGAAGAATGAGATGGGTCAGGTGTGGTGCTGAAAAGGAAGGAACAAGGGGAAGAAGGACGATTCCAAGCACTGCTAAGCTGAGAAATCCAAATGAGGCAGGAGGATTACATGGCCCTGGAATAGAGAGGAGAAAGTTTGAGGTCAGGAAGGTTCCCAGAGACTCATTAGACAGAGGGACAGAGGGAACACACAGTACACTGCATCAATCTAGAAACAAGGCCATATATTTTCTGACTACTTTAATAAGAATTCTACAATTGGTTTTATTATGAAATACTTTCATCTCTTCAGTAGTAGTTCACTGCAATCATCTTCCATCAAGGTTACAGGCTATAGAGCTATGGTTTTCTCAATACAGAAAATGGGGAAAAGCACTTCTCATCACCAGGTATGTTGATGTCATGAATAATCATAACATCAATACGTGCATATGGTTGCATATTGTTCAGAAGGGGATGGTTGGTTGTTCAATGTTATAAATAACAATCATGAATAAGTAAAACCCATATATATTGGATTAGATTACTAGTCAGTCTCTATTTATGCTCATCACATCCCTACTTCTTAGGGTGGAAGCAACAGAGATGTTCTAAACCAGGGTCCCTCAAACTTTTTAAGCAGAGGGCTAGGTCACAGTCCCTCAAACTGCTGGAGGGCAGGATTATAATTTGAAAAAAAACCAACACTCCCCATGAATGAATTCCTATGCACACTGCACATATCTTATTTGTAGTGCAAAAAACACTTAAAAATAATACAACAATTAAAATGTAGAACAATTTTAACAAATATAAAATTACTAGTATTTCAATGGGAAATGCTTTTCACTGATGAGATAGGATGGTTGTTGTTGTGTGCTTTCAAGTTGTTTCAGACTTAGGTTGACCCTGAGCGAGGGCTGGGTAAATGACCCTGGGGGGCCATACCCGGCCCATGGGCCTTAGTTTGGGGACCCCTGCTCTAAACTGTAGAGAACATTAGGGACCCTTCCACACAGCCCTATATCCCAGAATATCAAGGCAGAAAATCCCACATTATCTGTGTGTAGACTCAGTAAACTGAGTTCAAAGAAGATATTGTGGGATTTTCTGTCTTGATATTTTGGGATATAGAGCTGTGTGGAAGGGCCCAAAGAAAAACAGGAGAAACTTCTTTCTTCAAAACCTAGCACAAGCTTGAGTGTAGTGGAGGAAATGTATGCTGCTGGACACTCTCTTTACTGAGAAGCTCTTCCCTACTATGAGCAGACGGGTGGATGTCAAGGAGAGTATAGAGGTGCTTTATTTATGACTTTGCCATAATGCTATAGCTGTCCTTACTGCGCCACTGATGCATTCATTCCAGCAAACAGCAATGGTAGTTTCATCTAGGGGCACTGATGACAGTGAATTCAACTGGTTAAAACTTTAGTTTCCATGTCTTGAGTGTGTGTTTGTATGTCTGTATTATATTGGCAGGGCAATCTTTACCCTTCCCTTCCTAGACAGAGCTCTTAATGCTGATGGTGCATGGGGAAATGGGGTGGAGAGTCATATTAGAGAGGGGAAGGTTAAATCTCTCTCTCTCCACACCACAGCCTAAGAAACTACCCCCTCCATGTCAAGTACAAAACGAACAAGCACAAAAAGGAGATGTGATTGTTTTCAGTACAAGTAAAACAATATCGGAGATCTACAGTCTCAGCATAGAACTTGGCCGGTTCAGCCTCATGGCCAATCCTCTTTAAAATGGTTTGATCACATATATTCTATACCAACAGTGGAGATCAAAGAGCTTCAGCAGGTTCTAGGCAGTGAGATTACTGTGGAAACAAGGAACTCTAAATTGCAAAAATCCAGGTAGAATAAGGCTGCTCTCGCCCATGTTTCTCTGCTGTCTTTTCCATATATTAGCCTAGGAGACTGCTTGTTCTTTCTTGCACAATTAAATGCTCTTCCTCCCCTCCCAAAGCAGTATTTTGACAACCTGGGTGAACTACATGTTTCATTCTCTGCCATACCAAGGCTCTCTAGGGCAATAAAATAAAACTGACAATTGCAACAGTTTTATTTTATACCTTCCCAAATTGGGTACAGTATCACAGCAGTGAGCACTGCATATTTTCCAAGTCAGGCAAGATTTATGGATCAACATGTACGTGGAATATATTTGTCTTCATAGATCTGTCAGATTGTGTATGTTTCATACATCATGCAACATTCCCAGTGGGATAGTTGTTGTGCCTGCTCAGTGGGGCTCAGAGCTCTATCCTCTTGATATTTCCTACTTATTTATGCTCAGTTCATGAATGCAGGTGCTATTAAGATCATTACCACTGAATTTTAATTTGCAGTCTCTTAAAGCCTAACAGAGAGTACATCTACACTTTAGAATTAATGCACTTTGATACCATTTCAACTGATGTGGTTCAATGGAACGTGGGATATGCAACTCTTTGGCAGAGAAAGCTAAAAAACTTGCAAAACTACAGCCCTGTTATCTGGATTTTCAATGTATTTTCTTCAAAGAGAAAACTGACTTTTAAAACACAGAGATAATGCTGAATAGATGAATTTGGTCAGTGGTCTCTCAGTTCCCTCTGTCAAAAAGAGTGTAAGGCAGCAATCATAACATGCAAGTGTCACTACCCATGGGAGTAGCTCACTGTGTATATCTCACAAACACAAATCTCCAGTATGGATTTCATGTTTGATACTGCAATACTGTCCATGTAGGAAGAGGGTTTTCCTTTGAAATAACTCTAAGAACTGCTGTAAGCTGTGCAGTTATTCCAGATTTGAGAGAATTATTATAACCAGAAGATTTCACCTCATTTTCCATCCCTGTGGCAATTGGATTTTGAAAATTTGGAGTTGTCATGGAAACAAGGATCATGATAACTCTTACAGGGTGAATTTCTCTTCCTGAAGGTTGCTTTCCTCTCACTTCCTGTTGCCCTACCTTTGTTTGTAACTAGACGTCATATGTAAGATGGATGGGTGGAAATTGGGGGCTGCTTATGCATATAGTTGCATTTGAAAATCATTATGAGGAAAAATCTTGCAATTGTTTATTCACTTTGCTTTATTAATAACCTACATACATAAGGGAAAAGGCCATGGTATGATGCACTTAAGAAACTCTCTGTGCAATAAAAAAACAGGTAAATAATCCAGTTTTTTCTCCCAGTATTTGGTTTCAAAAGCGAATACTGAGGCTATTTCTAGAAAAGCAAACATAAAAATGTGATGTATCTGGAGTAACTTGTGGTGCCCAAGTCCAATATACTATTTTGATGATGAAAACAGTAAATGAAAAAGGCATCTGTCACAACTATGTATCACAATGAGCACACAATCTCCATGCCTTGCTCAGTACCCATTTAAATGGGGTTTATGCAGGAGAAACACCTGACAGAGTGCCCTGTAGGGAAGACTGAACTATCTTCCATGTCATAATTGCACTTTTCATCTGCTTCTGTTCCCTGCTACCTGTGCAAGGCCACAAGAAACCACAAAGAAGCTTTGTTAAAAGTGAGGACAAGGGCCAATTACTCTCATCATTCAGCAAAGAAAGAGCAGGAGATTATGGGATAGCAGTAATGGGCTTTGGCAGCATCTGGAGGTGGCTAAGAACATGTTCATCTGTGACAGACCTCCCCCAGCAAGTCACAGTAGGGATTAATCAAGATCTGCTATTGCTTATGGCACAGAAAGCTCATCAACGGGACACACAGAAAGGCCTGAAGGAGCAGCACCCTCCCTCTCTAGTGGGAACAAAGCAAGAGCAGTGAACAAAGGGGTGTGTGCTGCATGGTCTCGTTGCCTGCTAATAAATAGCATAGTAATGTAATATTGTTTCAAAAAGCCAATCTGTGCTGTGAACTTCCATCAGATTGTTAGAAAGTCCATGCACATATTCCATCCCGATTAGCCTGGGGTAATATTTTAAATAAACATATTTCAACTCAGTCATTCTCAATACTACTATGATGACTATATCATCAGAGCTTTCAAAAAGTTCCCGGAATTACTGGGTTCTACCAAAGAAAAGGGCATTTACTGCCCAAGAAGTATTACAACATCCCTAATGTGAAAATATTCGTTGGATTTCATCTGGTTTTGGATGATCATGTATTGTCTCTAAGTGTGTATACATTTGTCTCTAATAACATGAATACATTTGGATGGTTTAAGAGGAAATTAAATGCAAAGAGAGAATGTTAAAAATAGGATAATTTATTGGGCAGATGTAGAAAATAAATGTCAATGTTTGTTGTAAAATAGGAAACGGGTCAGTTGTAGTTGTATATTGTTGTGCTGGAGCTTTGTGGAAATATACTGTTAATTCATAGAAGACTGCCCAAAACAATTACAAAATCGACAAAAATCACCCCCAGCAAACTGTGGAAAATATTATTATTATTAATAATAATTTATTTGTAGACCGCCTTTTCTCACCAAAGGGACTCAGGGCGATTTCCAAGATATAAGGCAAACATACAATGCCAGCAAGAAGACATATAAGTATATGTGGGTCAATGCTGGAACAGGGACGCATCGTGGAGGCAATGACAAAAGGCAGAGGCAAGAAGCGTTCCCACTCTTTGCCCAAACCGGTGAAAGGAAGGTGACTGATTTTGGCCAATTGAGTAGAGTACCAGCGGCCATTACTAAGAAGGGCTTTTGTTTTGCATACACATTTTTGCAGAGAGATTGGGTTGACCATTTTTAATAGGCTGCCCCTCTCAAAAACGGCCATCACAGTCTCTCTGCAGAAAAAGCTTACCTAAAAAGAGAACCCATCTTTAACATGGCCATCAATGCTGCACTCCACCTCAATTACCCAAAATAGTTCCATTATGTTGCTGCTGAATTCTGTTCAGGATCAAAAAGCTGGCGAAGAAGGGAAGGCTGCTTTTTTCCTCTTCAATTTGGGTAAGGGAAGGGTAATGGGGTGGGAACTTCTTCCCTCCTTCTCTTCTCACTGATTTCACACTGGTTCCCTAGCAGAGGCAAATGGCTTTCCTTGTGCTTTTCCCTTCCCCTACCTCCATATCCCAAATTGCATTCTTATTCTTTTTCTTCATTTATATTCCTTTCCCTATCTTTATTTGTATAAATACAGTCATTTTAAGACGAGCAATGCAATTTACATGCACACACACTATTGTAACCCCTAAAAAATTAATATCTTCTCCTCTTTCGTTCTTCCTGTATGTCAGAGCTTTCCAAATTGTGTGCTATGACACATTAATGTATCAGATGCAGAGCGTAGGCATGTCATGCAAACGTAATAAGAAATCGTAACAAAAATCTTGGAAATGTATGTCTTATCTTACAAATCATAGATTTTTAAAAATATAAATGAAAGGTTTTCATGAGATACACTTCATTATTGCAATTTATGTATGCATCCATACCTCTTATAAGGAATTGTTTCACCCTCCGCTTTGCTGGATTACTGGGTCACGAAACGAAGCATGTCTAAAAAGTGTGTCATCAAGATGAAATGTTTGGAAAGCGCTGATCTATAAATTAAAAAAAAAAAACAGGAAAAGATTTGGGTTTTTTTGACATACCCCTAACATTTACACTCAACTGATGGGTCAAATTAAAAGCCATACATCTGGACCCAAAACATGATTTCAGTTTATACCTGAGTACTGACAGCAAACACTTAACCTTAAAGAAATAATTAAGTTCCTCAAGTTACCTCTTCTCCTGTTTAAGCACCTTACCAGTTTCACAGGCACAGTAGCTCAACGGAGTGGTTTATTCCCTCCCCAGGATCAGTGAGGCAGGGTAAGGACACTCACCATCCACTTGGAAAATCAATTCAGAGCTAAGCTAAATCTTGGAGTTTTGAGCACAAAATCCTCTGGGAATACCAGCCATCAAATATTTTATTTCTTTTAAAAATAATTCAATGATATGTTCTGCTTCAAAACCAGTATCTCAGAATGGAAGTAATAATGCCATACTTTAAAAAATGTGCTTACTTTAAAAAGAACCAACTGGTTTATTTCTTTCTTTATTTATTTACAGCATTTCTACCCCCATTTCTCTATCCTGGAGGGGACTCAAGGCACTTAAATGTAGGCAACCATACAAAGCCATAGGATATGTACAATTGCAGACATTTAAATAGGGTTAAAGATACATCAAAACAGTTTAAAAACATATACATCAATACATTAGCAGTTAATCACATGATCCTCAAAAGTAATCCATACCCTCAGGCTATCAACACCCTGAGAGTGAGGGCAGAAGGTTGAACACTCTTAGGTTTATGCAAGTAGTTACATTGCAGAGGGACAGAGGTCGCTTGAGCATGAGAAATCATGCAGGATGAGCCAAACTAACTTCTCATCTGGTGAATCCAGCACCCTGGACAGCAGATAAGTAAGTATAGACTTATCATGCATAGCCTTCACATACACACAATATTTACTTCCCAACTTTCTGATAAAAAGTGATGAAATGGCTAAGAATAAAATGCACATTTAAAGTTGTTAAATATACAATTTATTTGATTGAATGGCTGACCAAACGTTTTAGTTCAGCAAAATTGGACAAACTGATTTGTTCTTCCTAAAGATAAATTAGTACAATGTTGTTAAAATAACTGAAATATTTTTGTGGAATATATATGTAGAATATTTGAAGAGTGGCTTGTATGTTTATTTATTGATTAAAAACAGTTGATAGAAAGAAGGACAATATTTATTTATTTTTTGTCGTGACAGGGGTGACTTGAGAAACTGCAAGTCGCTTCTGGTGTGAAAGAATTGGTGGTCTGCAAGGACGTTGCCCAGGGGACACACAGATGATTTGATGTTTTTATCATCCTTGTGGGAGGCTTCTCTCATGTCCCCACTTGAGGAGCTGGAGTCGATAGAGGGACCTCATCCGCCTCTCCCCGGATTAGAACCTGCGACCTATCGGTCTTCAGTCCTGCCGGCACAGGGGTTTAACCCACTCCGCCACTGGGGGCTCCAAGAACAATATTGACAATGTGATACAACTAGATTATGATTTCTTACTGAAGGTCATTTTCTTTTTGATATATTATTTGTTAAGAGCCTTGTTGTTGTTGTTTTTTTGTCAGAAGAAACTTGAGAAACTGCAAGTCACTTCTGATGTGAGAACTTGGCTGTCTACAGGGGCGTTGCTCAGGAGAGCTTTGATAGAACAATGTGTTGTATGGTATTAACATGGGATAGTATCAGGAAGTTTTCCAAAAATGTTTTGTAGTGTATCATGACTAGAAAATTTAGAATTACTACTGTTGGTAAACTACTTTCCTTGGAGGAGGCAATATACGATGGTTCAAATAAGAGAATTAAAATGAATGCGTAAGGGAGTTAATTAATAAGGGATAACTGTCATCAGATACAGAGTGTTTGTTGGGTTTTTTTGCCACTGTTTCTTGTTTAATTTCGTTCTTTTTGTTTACTTATTCTTAATAATTACTTAGTGTAGTTTAGTAATAGTGGATACTATTTAGATGTGTACTTTTTGGTGGTTTTACATATAATTTTTGTGTTTTATTTTGTCTTTTTCTTGAATAAAAATTACTCTTAAAATATACAATTTACCAATTAGAAACATGTCATATAAAATATTTCAATAAGATAAAATAACAATACTCCCTGTACTACACTGTTCACAAGTTCAAAGCCTTCTGAAGCAGTAAGTTCCTTTAAAAGCCAAATATTTGTCTTAATTAAAACTCTTTTGGCCTTTTTAGACAGTAAGAGAGCTAGCTTGGTCTCCTTTAAAAGAAGCCCGAGAGCCTGAAAGAAGCTACCACAAAAGTCAATAATTTAGGATCTTCAAGGTAAAGGCTAAGCCCAGAACTGGACCCTCAATCAGTGTAGTTGCCATAGAATTGGTATTATATGCATCTTATCTGTATTCTGCACTAGATGCCGTATGAATTACAGTAGTCTGGACATTTAATGACTAATGCATGGGCAACTGCAAGGCCCAGATAAGGGCACAGCTGGTAAATCAGGTGACATATTAACAGATGGGAAATTAACATCTGATGAAAGGCAGTTCTGGCCAGCAATGCCCTCTATCAAGAGCACCAGGCCCAAGAGACACCCTCGACACACTGCCAAGATGGGGCCCCTGTGCCTTCAATTGCACCTCGCTTAACCAGATTGGCCAACCCAATCACCATCTAATCTACAAAAATGTTATTTGCAAATCTTCATCAAAATTAGACCTGGCTCTACAAGTGTATTTCTAGCCCATCCCCCATTAATTGATGAAGATGTAAGGAAGAACTGCATGTTGTCAGCATAGTATCATCACTCACACCCCTAAGTCCTGCCCACAACCAAGCAGCCCAGAAGGATACCATAGATCAGGGGTCCTCAAACTAAGGCCCAGGGGCCAGACACGGCCCTCCAATGTCATTTATCCGGCCCTCGCTCTGAAACAACTTGAAAGCATACAACAACAACAATTCTATCTCAACAGCCAAAAGCAGGCCCACACTTCCCATTGGAATACTAATAAGTTTATATTTGTTAAAATTATTCTTCATTTTAATTTTTGTATTGTTTTTTGCACTACAGATAAGATATGTGCAGTGTGGATAGTAATTCGTTCATGTTTTTTCCAAATTATAATCCAGCCCTCCAACAGGGATTGTGTCCTGGCCCTCTATTTAAAAAGTTTTAGGACCTCTGCCATAGATGATACAATAAAAGATGAATGAGAAGTCCAGGGAAAGCAATAGGATTGGATTTGTCTCATTTCTTATCCATCAAGTTATCTGCCTGGGTAACCGACTTATTTTCCCCTGAATAAGCTGAGAATCAAGAGCTCCTGGTGGTGCAGTGGATTAAACCCTTCTGCCAGCAGGACTGAAGACCAACAGGTCAGAGGTTCGAATCTGGGGAGAGAGCGGATGAGCTCCCTCTGTCAGCTTCAGCTCCCCATGCGAGAGAAGCCTCCCACAAGGATGGTAAAACATCAAAACATCTGGACGTCCCCTGAGAAACGTCCTTGCAGATGGCCAATTCCCTCACTCCTGACATGAAAAAAGCTCCTTATCGCCTATGCCCATCTGATTTAAGAAGGCACTGCATTTTTCAGTATCTTAACTAAATAATGGCACATGTGATACGCTGTGAGAGTTATTAAACACCACATGTTCCTAAATTTGGCTTCCAAAATAGCAATCTAACTTTTTCAGAGTAGTTGTAAGCTTTATAGCTTTCCTTAATAACAATATCTTTGATGTCAAAACATCAAGTCCTGACCTGGGATTAATCACATTTAAACAACTCTATGAAGTCAGTTTAGCATGAAAAATATATGTTGTGTAGCTGTGACCTCCATTAATATCCTGCAAAAATTAATGCTGGAATTTGAATTTTTTTTTCAGGTCTGGTGTAAAACAAAGAAGGAAGGGACTTTTGATTTCACAGATCCTGCCTTTCTCTGTCCTGTGACAAAGATTGCATCTGCAAATATCCCAAGATTTCACAATCCCATGTTGAGCTCCTAAGGCTCCTTACTCGAAAAACTATTAGCAAAATTACTAGTGTTAGGGACAGCTTGATTTGTCTATTTCTGGCCCATGTCACTTCCATATAATGTCTGCCTATCTGTAATTCATTTGTTATTCAAATATTATTACAATTCATATTGAAATTACAATTTTGATAAGTTTAAATTGCAAATATTATCTTCTGAAATTTGAAGAAGTACAACACATTATCAACRGTCACAATCTGAACATGCAGTCATCTGAGAAATTCTGAACGTGTCCATTATGCAAAAGGTATTATGATGCATATCTTCCATAAACATGGAAGACACTGTAAAACTGGATCATGAGAAGAAACTGCAGTTATAGAGGGATGAACATTAATTATACTCAATTCATCTGTTATGTTACATATTGATTATCTGTGCATAATTCGTATTTGGAGTATATCCTTAGATTTAAAAAAGTGAAAATGCTGTGATTACACAAATGTCTMCACCCTCTCCCTGCTAATTCTGCTTGAGAAAACYAATCTTCGTGAAGTTTTAAARGAAAATCTTTGTAGATAWCWWWGWTATCTACAAAGATTTTCYTTTAAAACTTCACGAAGATTRGTTTTCTCAAGCAGAATTAGCAGGGAGAGGGTGKAGACATTTGTGTAATCACAGCATTTTCACTTTTTTAAATCTAAGGATATACTCCAAATACGAATTATGCACAGATAATCAATATGTAACATAACAGATGAATTGAGTATAATTAATGTTCATCCCTCTATAACTGCAGTTTCTTCTCATGATCCAGTTTTACAGTGTCTTCCATGTTTATGGAAGATATGCATCATAATACCTTTTGCATAATGGACACGTTCAGTTGGAAGTTCCTACCTCCCATTTAACACACAGTGGATGAAGGACCAGGGCTTTCAGCCACAACCCTCCTCTTCCTCCACACTTTAAACAAACATAAGAATGGGCCATAGTAAAAGCATTTTTGCTTAGGAAATATGTGTATATCTAA